GCCTGCAGCAGAGAGGTCTACTTTCTCGTGGAGACTATTTTGTGGTTGGCATCGATATTGAGCAGTATGACCCAGTCAAGCCAGAAAAGTATCTGCGAGGCCTTCTGATGGAGAAAGTGGAGCCGTTGGCGGCGCAGGCATTTCAGTCCTATCTCGGGATTGTTCCCACAGCGCCGGTTTCCTTCGCCACATTCGCCAATGAGGTATGTTCACCGGGCACGCCCTGGTTAATGCGGTACATCTGTTCCTAATAATACTGCCTTTTCCCTCCCCACTATCAAACATTTGTTTTTGCCTTGTTTTTTGCGTGCTCTGTGAAGGTCAACAAATACATGGAGCGACCGCCATTCAATTTCCCCAACCCATTGGGTCTCTTCGGTGGCGCGAAGCAGGTTAGTCCGAGTCCTCCTCTGTTATCCCAATGCCCGTTAACAAACTATTATTGCAATTCACCCCAAGATAAGCGCTGAGGCAGCCTATCTCTATGATGCCGTTCATCTCTACGCTAATGCATTGATGTCCGTCTTAAAGTCCGGTGGCAGACCTAGGAACGGCAGTCTTATTGTGTCGGCTATCAAGGGCTCGCGCTATCTGAGCGCCATGGGGTGAGTATCCCAGCAAGCGAGACAGAATTTCCACTGACCCTCTTTGCGCACTCTTTGCGATGCACAGCTATCATGTGTACATCGATGAAAATGGAGACGCTGCTGGCAACTACACAGTATTAGCGAGAGGAACATTCCGCAACAGCCGCAACCAGACGGCTCTGGGTCTCCTTCCCGTGGGCACCTTCAGCCATAAGACTAGCAACAGAACCAGTGAGGCTTTGCCGGTAAGTAATCCTACGTCAGTATTGGTGGTATTTTTCATAAAAAGAAACATTGCCTTTTCACACTTGCCGTCCAGGAGCAGGTAAGCGCTTTTGGCATAGCAAAAACCCATTCAAACACTGGTCCTTCTTTAAGGCTAATCATTCTTCATTTATAACTTTGCAGGACTTGAACTTGTATCGCAGCATCGATTGGGTTGGTGGTTTGCGGCCTGCGGCTGCTCCGCGTTGTGGTTTCGGTGGCGAGAAGTGCGTCAGTAAGTTACTTACATTTCAAATCTGAACCCATTAACAATACGAATTCCGAATATACAATAGAATCTTTATATCTATGTTTCTATGTCCCGTCTGTTGTCCTTCCTTCCCTGTCTGTCTTTCTTTCCATAATAGATCATTATCAAGAAGGGCCAACTAGAAGACGAGGTTTTTAATAATTAAGTGCCCAGAGAATTGCCCATTCTGCAATCCATGCGTATTCGGTGCGTTAACCACGCAGTAATCAGAGTGAAAGAAGGATATAACGACTGAAATATCAGCTCTTCATTGGGCTCAGAATATCTCCAAGTTGCAAAATATCAACTCAAGCAAGCTCATTTATTTTCATTTCTAAATTTTAGATTATACTGGCGAAATATCGGCGGGCATCGCTGGCGGCGCTCTTCTGTTATTGGGCGTTGTCTCGTTGGTTCTTTATCGCAACTGGAGGTACGAACAGGAGTTGGACAGCCTCCTCTGGAAAATTGACTTTCGCGAGGTTCAGGTTCACGACAATGAGCGCGAACAGCAAACCCAAAAGGCTACACGAGTAAGTTGTGATTGGCTACCTAACTCAGTGCAATTTAGTTTTGATCATAATATATTGATAACTATGGAACAATGCAAAAAGACATATACATATATTTAGAAGACATTCAAGAAGCATACACAGAATAGATTGTTGTCAGCAAACTCAAACAAAAGCAGACCTAAATATTCTTTTTATCTTACGCTGAACCCGTTGAAAATAATAGTATAATAGCTTTGTTTTGTCGTCGATCGTCGATCTCAGAAAGCACGGTAGCTGTAGGTCTGATATAAAATTATATATGACTATCTTATGATTTTTATTCATGAATATCCATAGGTGGAAACTATCAATTAGAGCTTTTTGAGTGGTTTAATATATTTAAATTATGATAGAATAGAAATGTGAAAAATGCAAAACGTCTTATTGCTTATTTTAGCTAAATATGTTTACACAAATTTATATATTGTCTGTGTATGTTCTCATTTCGATGGCACTCAGTGTTTAAGCGATATTCTGGTATTTCATGTTTGACAGAATCTCATAAATCAATTGCCACGTCGTCTTCCTCCGCAGTCCACCCATCCCCTTATCCGCACCAGCCAGGTTAGCCTGAGCTCCAACCCCGACGCCGACTTTCGCTATACGACTATCTTCACGCCCATCGGACTGTACAAGGGCCAGCTCTATTCAATCAAGAAGGTTCGCAAGAAGAGTGTGGACATCACACGGGAAATGAAGAAGGAATTGAAGCTTGTAAGCAAATGAATCTCCAAAGCTATGGCAGACCTAATTTCATTCACATTCGCAAATAGCTGAGGGACGCACGCCATGACAATATTTGCGCTTTTATCGGTGCCTGCACGGAACCCCCCAACATCTGCATCATCAGCGAATATTGCACTCGTGGCAGTCTTAAGGTCGGTCATCTGCTGCTGCTGAATCTATGGCGACAGCCTAGACTAACCACCCTTCATATTTATAGGATATACTGGAGAACGAGGACGTCAAATTGGACAACATGTTCATTGCCTCCATGGTGGCGGACATCATACGCGTGAGTGCTGCTGTGTAACATTATACTAATGGCATCTCCTCCCGCTGATTCTTGTGTTCGTATCTGACCCCAGCATTCTGACTTCCGCAGGGCGTCATCTACTTGCACGAGTCGCCCATTCGCTTCCACGGGTCGCTGTGCACGTCCAACTGCCTCGTAGACTCGCGATGGGTGGTCAAGTTGACGGACTTTGGCTTGTTTGCTTTCAAGCAGGGCATCGAGGACAGCTCCACGGACATGCAACATATGTCGGCTAAGTGCCTCAGTGAGTCTTTTGCCTTAATGGTGGCAGTTGATATATTTACGGACTTTCTTACAGAACTCCTCTATCGAGCGCCAGAACTTTTAAGGCAGGGGCCCTCATCGATGGTTATGGGCACACAGCGCGGAGATGCGTATTCGTTTGCTATATTGCTGTACGAGATGCATGTGCGGCGAGGTCCGTTTGGGGAGACGGGCTTGACGCCTATGCAGTGCTTGCAGAAAGTCATGCAGCCACAGGATCAACTGCATCCCTACCGCCCATCGTTGCAGCCCCTCGAAACCGCCTTCGATTGCGTCAGCGAGTGCTTACGGGAGTGCTGGGCCGAGCGGCCCGAGGATCGCCCGGAGTTTAAGGCCATACGCACCAAGCTAAGGCCCCTACGCAAGGGAATGAGACCGAACATCTTTGACAATATGATGGCTATGATGGAAAAGTACGCCAACAATTTGGAGGCGCTCGTGGACGATCGCACGGATCAGCTGCAAGAAGAAAAGAAAAAGACTGATGCCCTCCTACATGAGATGTTGCCACGCTGCGTGGCCGACCAGCTGAAGAAGGGCCACAAAGTGGACCCCGAGCACTATGAACAAGTAACCATTTATTTCAGCGATATTGTCGGGTTCACGGCCATGTCGGCGGAGAGCTCGCCCCTTCAGGTGGTGGACTTCCTCAATGATCTGTACACCTGCTTCGACTCCATCATTGGATATTACGATGTCTACAAAGTGAGTTTCGTTGCATAAGGAAATGTTAAATATTTAAAAGCTTCATTCTTCGAAACAGGTGGAAACCATCGGCGATGCCTATATGGTCGTATCTGGGCTGCCTTTGCGCAACGGTGATCTGCATGCCGCAGAGATCGCGACAATGTCCTTGCACCTGCTCAGCGCCGTGTCTGAATTCAAGATTCGTCATCGACCCACCAATCGGCTACTACTTCGCATCGGCATACACTCAGGTCCCGTATGCGCAGGTGTTGTGGGCCTTAAGATGCCGCGGTATTGCCTGTTTGGGGACACGGTCAACACGGCGTCGCGCATGGAGTCAAGCGGAGTGCCGCTGAAAATCCACTGCAGCTGGCAGTGCCGGCAGCTGCTGGACCGATTGGGTGGCTATCATTACCAAGAGCGCGGCATAATCTCAATGAAAGGCAAGGGCGAGCAGCGCACCTACTGGCTGATGGGTGAGGACGAAGAGGCGCGCGTGCGTCGCACCTATGAGCGATCCCAACGGCGTGGCTCGCGGGCGCTGAACAAGTTCATCCAAGGCACCATCAAACAAGCCCAGGAGCAGGCCAATGAATGCGGCATACGGTCCTCATTGAAGCAGAAAAGCCTGCCACGGAACTCGCTTACTCGATCCTCTAGTCTCGAGTCTCCAAAGAAGCTGCGCTTCGCAGCTGGCAATATGCTGGAGCATCATCGTTATCATAGGTATGCTTTGATTTTAGCTTCATTATGACAGAGCGTAATTAATCAGGTTCTTCCTCTTTTCAGTGACGAAGCCCTATTGGAGGTGGACTCCTACACTGGCTTGCGGCGTTCATCCGGCGGCTCCACACACTCACGCCATGAGGAGTCGACGCTATCCTGCCAAAGTATCGAACACATCGAAGCGCAGGAGCAGGAGCAGCAGAAGCAGCAGCAAAAGAAAAGGCCTTTCTCCTATCCGACGGTCAATACGCCTCTGCTCTTAAATCATGTCGAGGTTTAGATTAGAATGAAGCTCATTAGCAAAATTTAAGATTATGAGAAGTATTATAGTGGTGTTCAGCTCTTGTCAGTTGCTTTAAGTGTTGTTAGAGGGTGCATAAGGCCCCTACATACGTATGTAATTGAATATATATATTCTCTATTACGAGCCAATCCCATATCTCAAGCCGAACTAACCCGGCGTAGTTCTTTGCTATATATGTGTGTGTAATAGTATCAGCATATTGTGAGAGTGATTACAAATCTAGTCGTTGTATACAACATGAATACAATAGTTTAGACAGTAGCTTAGATTTAGATTGAAAAGAATAATTAGTAGTAAAATATACGCTTATATAGGTGAAGATTTGGCATGTTTTTCATCAATTGTGTTTTTATTTGAAATTTCTTGTTGTCTTGAAGACACACTTACTATTGTTATATTTATATTGCGTGTAGTTTTATAGTAGTATATGTAATTTATTCAAACTTAACGTGTTTTTCATTTGAGTTTAAAACCAATTTGTGCATTTTTCTCGGAACGTCCTTAACATATAATTCTCCCCTCTCTTTTAACTCTAAAGTCTTGCGAAAGCCAGCTTGCAAAAGTTTCGAATTGCTTGTAAATAAGTATGTATTTTATATATGTACATACATATATATAAATACGATACATAAACTCTATTAGGGAATTTCAATTTCAATTTGATTGCTTTTGTTTGAACTTAGTTTAGCTAGGTTTATATTAATATATATATATGTAATTCTATGTATTTGTGTACCTTAAGTTTTTTTCCTTTCATTAATTTGATAAGCCACAAGCTTTAAAGCGCACTTCAACGCGTAACATTTAATTTTGTAATTTGTTGTGTTCAATGTCACAAATGTATTGTATGCGTGTGCTCTGTTTTTGGTGGTTTTAATAAAACACAATTCAACAAGTTACTAAATAACAATATCTGCGATTCATACTAGACATGAGTCGTATTTGTATATATATATAATCGGGCTTTTTTGGTTGTCCTATCAAAATGCTTGCAACAACAAATCTACTCAAAATATGCATTTAAAGTTTTTCAAATCTGTATATGTATATGTATATGCAATATATATAAATATGTTTATATAATAATGTATGTCTCGATTATTGTTCGACTGCCAGGAGCATTTCGACTCGGTACAAAACTAACAAATGGACCAGTGCCCACCTCTTCGATTGGAGCACTGTTTTCAAGTTTCTTTATAAATATAATTATACATATAACGTTAATTCGCAAATATATATTTTTAAATATATTTGTTAAATGCGTCTCTTAAAAAATAGTGTCAACAATTTTACAAATATGTAAGGTTTCCTCCTTCTCCAAGTTTTGATTATTTCGATTTGCACTCAATTGACGAATGCTGCTAAATAAATCTCAACAACTCTAAGCTTAAGCGATTTTCAAGTTTCCAATAGCTTGCTAATATTTCATGGACGATAGATGAACCCTATAAAGTACCTCACCAAAATTAGATAGGGAGAGCATGTTAGATTTTACCTTCATTCTGATTAATTAGAATACAGCGCCATGAATGAAAGGCCAATGTAATATGAGCCTCGGCTCCCTTCAACTCACTCAGCATAAAACGTAAGACTAACATCTTGGATTGCTTAACATCTGGTGAGGTTCATAAGGAGCATAGTAAATATCTAATACTTTAATTGTGCACAAATTAAGGCTGCTTCCGAATTAGTCGCATTATTAAGCCTACAAAATGGTATAGGGGTACCTACAGATGTAGATGTGTAAAAATAACGGCAAGAGATCGGCGTTCATCCCTTGTAGACCTGAGTCTAAGTGATAATCGTAGGAAGTGATCCTCAATAGGTTTCGCTGAAGTTAGCGCGCAAATAGATTACAAACGTGTGGGCAGGTTCTGCTGTATACAAATATTCGAGAGCGGAGCTTGATGAGAGTAGACGGCTTCACCTGGACTTTTTCGCCAAGCTAGTCGATCTGTGGGGCAGAGGAGAGGGAGATTACTTGGTTATCGACATGATTTCTGTTTATCTTACCTTCTGACACCATGCCGTGGGCTGGAGGGAGGGGTATGGCATGGGGAGGGCGGTGCCGAACCGCCCGATGAGCCACGGGACGATGTTATCGATAAGGTTGAAGCACGCGGCGCAGAACAGCCCAAGTAGATAGCCGAGCCCTTGTCAATCTCGCGAAGATCGACCCGCGATCCGTGCACAGATGACGGCACCGAGCCTACAAATGATGTATAATAACTATATATTAACAACTCATCGGGCTTTTGAACGAACTGCTTACCCGTGTAGGCATGCAGACCCGCCGGACTGCTGCGGGGACGCACGCCAAAGCCGCTGACCGTGCTGGCGCTGCGCTGCAGCTGCGCGGCACTGCCATGGCTGTCCTCAGCTTCCGGCTTCTTCCTTTGACTGCCCGCGCTGCTCACGCGCCCTGCTCCACTTATGGAGTTGACTCGCCCGCCTGACTTGTAGCTCTGGCGTGACGGAGACCGCTGGAGTTGAAGCTGCTGCTGACGCTGCTCGCGGCGAGCATCCTCAATGGCTGCTGCGTACTCGGCAGCTTCGCTGGAGGTAACTGGTTGCTGGGCGATCTCGTCCTCGGGGATGCGCTCGTTGCCAACGGAGCGACGCTGCAGAGGCGAGCGCTTTGGCGACGTGGGACACGACTGGGCTACGACGACAAGGCCAGCAGTGCTGCTGACGCCCAAGGAGCTTGACGATGAGTTGCTGTTGGAGTTCGCATTAGAGGACTGGGCGCGCACCCTCGATTGCGTGCTGGAGGCACTCGACGGACGACGGCGGAAAAGTCCTTTGGTGGGGTCCATGTTACAAACGCCTAATAAAAACAACAAATACAAAATACAAAGTGCATAACTTGAGTTACAAAAGGTTGGTCGAATATTTATTTAGCTAGTCTAGACTTCTAATATCGAAAGCTTAGCGCTTGGTCTTTGATTTCTTAGGCAACCGCTTGCCCCCAGTGGCACGGGCTTTTGGTTTTACGGGTGCGGCAGCTTTTTGGTCAGCCTCAAACTTCTTAGCCAGCCTTTTCATGTGCGCAGTATAGGAACCGTGACGCTCATCTTCCTCAGTCTCCTCGTCCAGGTTGTTGACAAAGCGTCCAGCATTTACATCTGCATTGTAGTAGATGACATTGGGCATAAGCTCCTCGCCAGAGTTGGAGCTGGATTCGTCGTTCGAGTCGTCCAAGTTTTTCTCGGACTCAGTCTCGAGCTCGCTCTCGAACTCATACACGGAGGTATCAGAACTGCGCGTCTGATTAAAGGTTCTCTTCTTCCATTTGTCAACGATGAACCTTAGAGTGTAGGCCACGTTCTGCCCAAGTGAGGCGCGAGAGCCCTCCTGACCACCAAAAGCAAGACCCCCAATTGTGTAAATGGGATTGTCCGCACCTGTGGGACACTTTTCACCGCGAGAGCAGTTGCCCTCGCATATGTCTCTGTTCTGCAGCAGCTCTTGGTAGCTGTCCAGGGCCACGCTGCACTTCACCCGATCTAGTTGCTCCAGCGCCGACGACGGGAAGCGCTCCCTCAGACGCCGACGCTCCTCCGTTAGTTTGAACTGCTCGAACTCCTGCAGCTGATTTTGAAAGCCCGTGTTGGGATTAGCGACTGCGCGACCAGCGCGCACCACCTTCAAAGCCTCCTTCCAGTTCAAGTGCGTGGCGGTCATAATGTAGGCGACCGCAACAGTTACGGAGCGCGACATCCCAGCCAGACAGTGGATCAGCACGTTGCCCTCCCTTAGCCGGGCTGCGTGAATGAAGTCGTTGCACACGGAAAAGTACTGCGACAAATTTTGATCTGGAGTATCAGAAGCCATCACACACAGATAGTGCTTGTCCTAAATGGAGATAGGGCATTAGTTCCAGACACCTTCTAAGGGAGTGGAAATGGAAGTGGATGGACATACCGGCAAGAGGCGCCTAGGACTGTCATGTATGGCTATTATGTGAGTAATTTTGAACTTCTCCAGCTGCTGATAGTCTTTGGAGTCGCGGTAGTTGCCCACATATAGTCCCGGCAAAACCTGGCCAAATAAAGGAAAAGCTCTTTTAATAGTCCGCAATTAGTTAATGAAAACATTTGGTTACATTTCCCATATGCCAATCCATCTTGATAATTCTGATTCAAAATATAGCACTGTCTACAGCATTAATATTTGATACATACAGTGAGATTTGTTTATTTGAAAATACGAGTCTGTTTGTTGTTTGTTATTTGCTGTTGCTACAGGCAACTGGCCTTGACGGCTATCTCTCAGGGTCGACTCCCTAGGCACGCAGGAAAAGTATATATTTAGAGCAAACAGAGTTCTCTGTTTAATACAAACTGGAATTGACTTCTCATACAAATAGAACCAATGTCTGCTCTAATCCATGGCCTTAAAATAACCAACCTATTATAATAATACCTTGGGCATTTTAAATATTTAAGACTTCTTAAATTTCCCTTTACCAATGAGAAGTTATCGAAAAGTTGAATGAACGCTTTTATCAATTGATATTGATTCTTCAAGAATACATATTGCTGTCACTTGCCCAACTCACTCTTGACAATATATACTATATATAATGAGCTCTTACCTTGTTCATACCATTCCCCATGATTCTTCATTTAAATGTCGCGAGCACCCTCCTTCAATGGTCAAGGCCTTAAAGTAGAATAAAAATAAAGAGAAAATTCGTTATTTGACAAGTTCACGGAGAATATGCAATATGGAATACCGAATATGCAATATGCAAATGAAAGTGAAAGTGAAAGTGCAGGAAGTGCGATGGCAACCACACACATAAACCCACACACACACACACAGCAATCAGCCGGTTGTTCATATGCTTGCATATTGTTTGTGGCTGCCCATGGTGAAGGTATGAAGTATAAGTGGCAGCTGTTGCGACTGTCATCGGTTTGCCTGCCTCCTGCTCCACAAGTCGAAAGCCAAGGCGAGGCTGGCCTAGCACAAGGAGAAGAACACAAAAGTTACCTCCACCAACAAGCAGACAATCGTGGCCTAGACAATAGAGACAATGCATCCGGCGCGGAAGTAAACAATCCTTGACGTAGGCAACTCATTAGTGGGACAGACCGACTGTCAGACAGGCAGTCAAACCGAATCGGCGGAGGATTGCAGCTGGGCCTGTTCAGCGTGCTACAATTGAGTCTGAATGCCAAAGGTCGCATAAGCAACTGAATGTTCCGTGATGTTCGCGATGTTCGTGGCCCTCCAAAGCAGACAAGGATTATGGCCGAGCTACAACAGGTGTCTGGGTGTTTGACCGTGACTGAAAACAGAGACTAGCTCATAATCCAATCCACAAAGTCGCGACGCTGCTTGGCCTGGCAAGCCGTGACTTATGTAGCAAACAGCTGACGCTGCTTAGCCCGTCCAGCCCTCCAAGCAGCCATCCCTGCATGTATGCACACAATATGCCCAGCCCACCTTGTAGGCGCTTTTAGAATTAACCATATTTACATAAATTACTTGCGAGCGCAATGAGTGTAAGTGAAGCTTTGTTATATTTCCTACCTGGCATCCTGTCATCTTACGGACCGACTGACTGACTGACTGACTGACTGACTGACTGACTAACTGACTGACTGACAAAAAGATGGCCCAAGATAGAGCACGTGTGGCACGTTTCTTGTCGTAACAGCTGCCATTTAACAACAGCCAACAAGCCCCGTTTCCTTTACCTACCCGCTCCCTGCCTCTTACACTGCCCTGCTGAAGGCCGCACCACAAAAGCCACAATTAAGTTTAACAACTGCAGTCGGGAGTGCCCGACGAAGAAATTCTGTAGTTTACTAGCAAATTCAAATGATCGACCAACCAATACTCCCCAGAAATGACTCGGACTGAAAAAGTCGATAGAATTATTATTTAAATCTTACTCGATTATAAGTAATGTTGATTTTATGAATTCATTTTGATCATAATTTCATAACTAAGCATAGTTTAAATAAGGAGTAGTTATAGATCTCTTATATCTGCATATTATATAGAGGGTCTGTAAAATAATTCCAGATCTAACTCTAGACACATCCTGACAAAAGGCTCTGCCACACCTCCTTCTGTAAAACTTCCATGAAACCCCCCGTTTATTGGGTCGATGGTTTGAAAGAAAGGGTAGTCTAAGCTGTCCTTATGAGCTGTGAACTATGCTCTCCATTGTCGTCGATGAACTGAGGAATCGACTAACCTAAATCAGTATACAGAAAACCTTATAGCCCATTTACCATAAGTGCAGGGTATGCGAATGGTCGCAGCCAACTCTTGTGATATTGCCACCGCAGGCAATTGATCACACAAATGGCTGGTTACCTTCTTTGGGCCATCGCCGACATGGACTAGTGGAGTGCACCCATCAGATGAAGATAGGCATCAGCTAAAAATAGTCGACACCCAATGCTCTGTGGGTGGCTGTAGCCATACCAACGTCATTCAATTCAATTGGTATACGTTTGTGCAGGTGGGCGTTGCTCTATGTGTGTCTGTCAGCTTATGCCTCCGCTCATCCATTGACCAAACAATTTTAGGACCTTCACATTTCGTCAAATTTCACATCGCATTTGCTCAAAGAGCTTTCAATGAAACTGTGCAGAAGTTCGCTTGACTGTATTTGTCGAGCACTTGGAGGAACACATGATTGACAAAATGTAATACTAACTCAATCGCAGAGGTATTTAGTATGTAGTGTACTCTATAGGTATTTTTATCTAATATACACGTATATTTAGTATTTCATATCTAAAATTCAGAATTTAATTTCTAGTATCACTAAGCATACATTTATAGTAATTAGTAATTGGTAAACTAGTAAATAATATCGAACACTTAGCATCCAGTGATTAGTACCTAATGTCTTGTATCTAGTATGTTTAGTCATTCTCTAGTATCTAGTATGTAGTACTTAAAATTTAGTATTTAATATTTAGTAACTCGAATGTGGTGTGGTGTAGTACCCAGCTACTAGATTCTCTGTTATGTAGTATGATTAATCTTTTATCGAATTAGATCCGAATACTAATTTAGGAGTTATATCCTGTAGCCACCACATTTAACTATAGCTCAGTCTTCTTTTTTCATATATACGTTACTCAGACAATCACAGTTTGCTTTATTTTCACTTAATCTCTCTCGTTTACGGAGAAAATCAATAATTGCAACTAGTGAATTCATTTGGCTACCGAAAAATGGAGGCAATAATAAAAAGTGAGGTCTACCTTTAGGTGCAACGGAAATACTATTCAAATTTACGTTCAGCTTCAATTAAGCAAGAACTTTTGGCAACGTACACTTCATTTATACAGGGGAAGTCAATTTGGCCCCCTTTGTATGCCCTGTAAACGTGGAGAATGCTAGGGAAGTATGATTCCCTCACGAAAAAGAAGACCGAATTGAACTATATTCAGAGTTGTATAGGACCAATACTATAGACATTTCTATGGATATCGGTATATCAAAATTTACATAAATGTGCCTCCGTGGGGGCGTGGCAAATGAGGAAAAACTAGCAATGGGATGGTAAAGCAACAAAATAGGGTAGCGTGATATACATTCTATATACATACATTCTTGTCGTTTATTTATTCTATGTATTAATATGTAAACTTGCTTTTGTCACCATTTTGTGTTCAGATTTGTTATGAGTATCTAGGGTAGTTCTCAGGGTATCTCAAAGTTCTGTTAAGTCCCTAGATCTGCAGTGTTTCCCATTTTTCTTATCTTTGGTGCCAACTTTTTCAATTTACTGATTGGCAAAGGGTTTTGCACGACATGAATTTTTTCCAGGCCACACGAAACTAGCCTTGCTTTTAATATATTTATCTGATAGTCACTATTCTTTATTTCTATAAGCTTTCTAATGGCCAGTCTGCATAAATTAGCAGGCACTGTGACCTTGTGCCCGCTCAATAATTGTGGAAAACAAGAGCCAGGCATGTCGCGTGGCGTGTCGCGAGGTTACGGGTCTGGGCGCTGACATTGGCATGGATTCAAGTGTCCCCGGCTGTCAGGCCCTAACGGGCAGTCAATTATGCCGCTTAGACACTTAACATTAGCAATAAAATAAATACATGCAACTGCTGTACACACACACACACATACACAGGGTAAAGCTCTGAGAATTTATTGGACTGCCTAAAAAAGAACAAGCGACTGGGCACCTACGGGATTTCGCCTCTGTGCCGTAAATACAAAACGGCTTGCCCGAGGCTCAACGAACTGTGCGAACTGTTGTATTAAACGTCCGCCTCTTGGACCTATGAGCCATAAAAAGAAACACGCGCACACAAACGAAAATAAAATGAATGTGATCGAATGGGATTTTTGCTGCTAGCTGGAAATTTGAGTGAAACTCAATGAAGAATTAACCAGCGAAGCAAAGACAAAGCAAAGCCTGGTGCAGGGAAGGCAGGCAACTAGCGCCGCCATGTCTGAGGTTCAGCAAATGTCAAGAGGAGTCAACAGCCTGAAGGGGGATAAACAACAGAGACTGCTGACAATAGTCGGGAGTGACCGACTAAATGAGCCTCTGCACCAAGAAATTGTATTGCCGTTTCTCTTATAGTCCTGCAAAATGTAGACTCTAGGCTCACAGGGATACGGACCGAATAAAAAAGTAGCATTTGCGATTTTAGAAGCCAATTTGAAAGCTAACTCTACTCCAATCTCTCACTCATAGACAGTTGTCTTACTATTACAGTTAGGAGAGGAATTAGTACAAAAAATACATATTTATATATAAACAAATTTGGTATACATAAATAAATAGTAATCATCGCTTGGATTAAGCAGTAGCTTTAACATTGCAAATTCCTGAGGAATGCTCAACTTTGATAACTATATATCGACAGGGAAAAATAAGACAATATAGGATAATTAATAAATTTATAATATAATTTAAAGTCTTTCAGCGTTGCCTAATCAGCTCGACAGGTCATAACATATTTCTAGAGCAGACGCAGACTCTTATGAAATTAGGTGCGACGCATTCATTAAAATCATCATGCCCCACTGGAAAGTGTAGGTATAGCAAAGGCAGGACGATGCCATGTGCTGTCATAAAATAGTTTATTAGCATACAAGTAAACAGCCATCAGACGCTAACAATCGGACGATAGGGGGAAGCTGTGGAAACTGGGAAACTGCTGATATCATGCTCTTTTGAGGGATCCTATTCCATAGCACAGGATTTATTACAATGCCAATGGCTGCCGGTCAAAGTTGTTTGCCATTTTGAGTTCCTAACCAAACAAAGCCTTGAATGCTGATAAGCAGCTGAGGAAGAGCCTGGAATGCGGTCTGCGAGCGCTAGCACATGTCCATCCTTCAGTTTACCTTGGGCTATGCACAGCTAGGGGGCGAATTCCGGCAGTTAACTAACTGCCATTTATCCCGGCTAATTGCGCTTGTTGCGTTGGCTTGTACCACGGGGGCTACGGCCCACGCGAATACACAAACAAGTGCTCGAGGTCGCCAGCTAATGCATATACCGCATATAAACGGAAGGAGGGCCTTTGCCCAACTCACAAATTGTGGAGGTTTGGAAAATTTCAGTTAATTTAAATAATTAATTTACAACAAGATCCCACATGTGTCCAGAAAATGTTTTGTAAATCGAGACCTGCATAGCAAATTTACTTCGACACATTCAAACTGCAAATGTTGCACGGGGGAAATTATACGAAACTCAATTTGTTTTTTGGCTTAATTACGTTTACGTGCATTCCGGGAAAGAGACTCACTCTGAATTACCTACCGAAACTGAAGCGCATGCATGCCTGAAACATATGAGGTCAACTAAGACGCTATTTAGAAAATACTGAGAATTACATATACGAGTTTAAGACATAAGAGCACATCGGTCGACAAATACCTATATTCGATTATAGTTGAAGGATTTTCAGTGCTCGATTGCGTTAGGTGATAAATTAGATCCAAGAGAAAATTGATTATATATAAATTAATATAAGCTCAAAAAAATCGATTGACAACATGGAAAATATTAAACATAATCTATTATTTGGCAATTCCCTGAAGTCATGCGAATCTTTAGTAGTAAGTAGTTAGTAGTGAGTAACTGTAATTCAGATTCGAAATCTATTCAAAACAGAAAATCCTATTCACGCTCATTAGGGATGTCTTGTGTGCATGGGCAAGTACAGCTATGCATGAGCGAATTAAACGTCATCTGAGCATTCCATCTACATTGTGCCTCATCAGCAAGCGCAAATTCCCATCGAAAATCATCGTCATCTAATATGAATGCCGCACTCAGCTGTGAAAGGACAAGGAGAACGCCTTAGCGTCCTATGGGGTGGCCAAGCGGCCAACTGGCCAAGTGTCCTGAAAGTGTTTCAGTTGCCGAAAAAGTAAAAGAACTGGCACATTTTCACACCAATTTAGAGCCGCTGCAAACTACGGGCAACACACAGACACAGGCAGTGACACGGCCCTAAATATTACTCATACGACTTGTGGCGCAGCTCTTTGCGATGCCGAAAAGGATAGTCTGAGCGCTAGGCTAATTTCCAAGTTGCGTGCAGACATTTTTCGTAGTACTCGTAAAAAATCAGCTAAAAAGCAACGAATAAGTGCAAATTACGCCATCCTGCAAAGTAATTTTTCCAACCATTTACATTTGCATTAATTTCCCAAACGCTGGGCGAGAGCGGGAACGTGGAACAGGGAAGCGGGAAGCGGGTGGGGAGAAGGCTAAGCGCCCGAAGAGCGGCAACAAAATTATAGATATTATAGATTGCCATGAGTAGGGTACAACACTTACCTCACTTTGTTCCAGGGATCCACGTTGAGTCGCCGTCACTTCAATGCTTCATGGGCACACATGGGGACACATGTAGAGGCGAGAAGAGGCTAGGATGGACACTCCTTCACTGCTGTTATATCACACTCGGCACACGGGGCAAGAAAACGCCAGAGGACGCTAACGGCAGGGACTATGACGACTCCGAAGTTGTCTGCAGCCGTGGACACCGCGCAGAGCTTTGATTTTGAATAAAATTTTGTTGTTGTTGAGTAGTTTTGCTGCTGAATTGTGCAGCGCTGGCTCGAGTAGAACTAAACAGGCAACTTTGATAACTGTTTTTTAAAGTTATATGCTTCGCTTGATGTGTTTTGATTTCGCAGATGGAAAAATAGTGTGTATCGGAAGGAGCGAGTGGCAGCGAAAATACCAGCGAGCCAACAAAAGAGCTACAATAAAATAACAAAGTCCAACCGCAACAACGGCGCGAGAATGAACCTTAAAGAAGTAACGAGCCCCAATTAGCCGAAGCGTTAAAGCACCTCAAACGCTGCTAGCAGACTGAGACAAAGTCTTAACCCAACCAAGAGCTGGACTCTACGCAAAATGAGTGGAACGCCGGAGCCGAGAGACATGAATGAAGCACTAGAGTCTGAGCATGCGCAGTGCATAGCCGAATCAGAAGCGCGCGAACTGAAAGCACTCGACACAGCTCTCACTCAACTCATAATTGCTCTCTTACAAGGTTATATAATCACTAACCAAGGACTAGAACGAAAAAATTGTAGCGGGAGAATGAGAGAGGGACAAACCAATGAAAATCTAGGAGAGAGACACAGAGTGAAAGAGAGCGGCTGAGTGAAAGAAATCGTTCGGTCAATCGAAGGTGCCGCTAATGTGCAATCATGATGCCTAGTTATAGTTGACGACTCATCGAAGCTACCTGATTTAAGGTGTTTTGTTATTGTTTTAAAGCATTCAGTTAGCTAAAAAAGGAGCGCGAGACTATACCCGCATACATACATTGTACACATTACGTACATATGTATGTATGTATATATGAGATTGCAATTCCAATTAAATATATGTATGTATGCACATCTGTATAATTGTAGGCACATCTGATTGGATTTAAATTTCCTACATGTGTGTATGTATGTACATGTATACCTACATGGTTCTGTATGTAAGTAGAAGTGTGCAATATTTAAATATGAATTATTTCACTTTATGTGCTCAGCTGCCACTGGTGTGGATCTCAGTGTTGTAGCTGTTGCCCACGCCTGAATTTATTTGGAAAATACATCGAACGCAAATAGCGGCAGCGCGGCATGCCGAGGCACGATTTTATGTGGGCGCGCTAGTGACCAAGCGATATATACATATGTATGTATGTATGTATGGGTGGTGGTATATTCGAATAGTATACACTTTTACACACATATAGATCTTATACAAACTCATGAAATATGCCTCTGCATGGAATGCGACAACTTCTGACGCATCACTGTAGCCCAGAACAAACTGTAAACAGCTGGTCAAAATACAGTTCAATAGTAACTATGGCAAGTGCCATACATGCGTAGATTACTTAATATCGATAAGCGGGCTGATCGATTGGTCGATTAATGTCTTTCGTGTATGTGTGCAGCAATTTAAGTCACTAGGCAATTGCATTTGGCAGCTACATACAAACACAATACATGTGAAAACGTTTTAACTATAGCTTGAAATGTGCATTGTACATTGCCTTTGTTTATGCGGATATACATACATATGTATATGCATACATACATAAGTAAATGCTATTTCGTATGCTCTGAGCTGGTTCGGAAGCCATGCGACTGTCATTGCTGCTCAGTTTCAGCCAACGGAATTTGCTCTCTCTAGCAGCATTTAGATACTCAGCTGATTATTATTGTTGTAGTAGGTATTGCTGGCACTGGCTATTAATAAATCTGATGTGTGTGAATCTTGGGCGCTCAAATGGCTCACGATCGGCGCAGAGAGCAAATGAACGTTGATTTCGTTAGACAAAAAATGAGAAAGCGATAGAGAGAGAAAGACGGAGAGAATGTAAAATATAAAGAAAAACACTGTCGACTACAATTTGTAGGCACAGTCTATTCACCATTTTAGGACTTAACTGTTATCCGATAAAGCGTCACAAGCAAAGTTAACAAGTCGCGTGCTGGCTTAACTTATCCATTGAGTCAATTTGAGAGAGCATTCTTAATGTATGAAAGAGAGCGAGTGGGGGAGACTTTGTGGTGGCCAAAGGTAGCATCAAGGCAGTCGTAAAGCGAGCGAGCCATCGAGCGAACGACCGAAAAAGTTGCGTTCAGTCAACGAGCAACATTTGCGGCGAGCAGTGGTCGTAACGTGAATTTGTAGACTAACGGAAAAGTGGCCTTACGTGGTTTGTGCGTGTGTGTGCGTTCAGCAGCAATGTGCAAAAATATTTTTATCTATTGGTGTTGTATATTTAAATTGAATATATAAATATAAAGCATCATTCTAAGCGTACATGAAATATAGCCACAGTGAGAGAGGGAGAGAGAGAGAGCGCGTGACTACGAAGAGAGAACTTGAAGTGGCCAACGGAAGTACGTAAGAGCAAAAAGTGTCGAAATTGCATTTGTGTGCGTGTGCTTAACGTTGAACGCTGAACGCTAAACAGCTGCCGTGGCTGTTAGAAAGTGTAGCCAAAGAGTGACATCACGTCAGCCGTTACGGATACGATTGCGAGGAGAATAAGTTGCAATTAGCAATCTGTTTCATTGTTGTGGAAAAGTCGCTGAGATAATCCCACCAACAAGCGGAGCTGTCGAAAAGCCATACAAGAAATTGTGGCTAATTTGAAAATCGAACCAGCCGCAACAAGACGTCAGCCGGCTGCAGAACGTACGAGAATTAACGGGCAAACACATTGTCGCTCTCAAGGTGAACCTGCCTGCCGAACGTACAAACAGCGGCAACGGCAGTGGCAGCAGCAGTAGCAGCAGAGCCAGAGGCAGAGCCAGAAGCAGAAGCAGCAGTAGCAAAAATACTCAATTCAATTTATTTCGAAATTAGTCACAGCGCTTCGAGACGGAAACAGAAAGTGACGAAAAGAGACGCTTGTGGCAGCCAAAATGAAGCCCTCTGTGATAGCAGCAAATCAAGCTAGCGCAGGCAACGCAGCCGGTGGTAACAGCGGCGGCAGCAACGGCAGCGGCAACGGGGCGCCCGCAGGGGCCGGCGTCAACATACCCATCAGCCGTGAGTACGTTGGGATTGGAGGGGAGCACAGCGCCTCGCCCCAGCAGCACTATGCCCAGCAGCGTGCGCCGCCGCAGTTCTACAACAGCCAGCCAGCGTACGGATCACCGCGACAGCAGCAGGTTCCTCCAAATCAGCCGCAGCAACATTTTCAGGTAAGTGACTGGCTAAAAAGTCAATGGCGCCAGCGCCAGCAACAGCGACAGCTACAGCGCCAAGGTCGTCTCTCTGCCCGCTTGCATATATGTACATCTCTGTATGTAGACTCGTAATTTGGCGCCCGACAAGGTCGCCTTTGTATTGTTGCTGTTGTTATTGTTATTGTTATTTTTGTTGCTGTTGCTATTGTATTTGGTGATGGAAATTTAATTAGCTAGTTCTCGCCGAATGCACAAAAAATACTCAAAATAAACCCCGTTTCGCACTTGGAGAATATATGCACAGAGAAGCGTTACATGCGATCATGTACATATCCATGTATGTGTTTATCACAGGCCTGCATGCAAGTACATAGGTGCTTGAACTGATGACCGTTAACGCTGCGTATGAGCAATATATAGTGTAAGCTTGCAACAGCAGCTCCAGTTGAACTGCAGTGTTTTCACGTGGACTGATCTTGCTGCTGGCTATCTAATCTGATTATCACGCACACAAAAGTGTCAAACGAATTGTTTTATATGAACAAAAAGAAACGACAATTTCGATTTCAATTCGATTTGTGCTCGTTTAATATATTTCTAGAAAGTACACTATGATAGACAAACGCAAATGTCCCCACTTGGAGAGAATCACTAACAGAAAGCGAGAGAGAGGGAGAGAGAGAGAGAGAGAGGGAGAGCGCGAGAGAGATTTCGCTGTTGGGAAACGCTGAATTTGATTTTATTTCTTACTCTATCGCCGCTGTAGCTGTGTTTGTGCATTAACTTGCTTACATATTTACAGACAACACACCTCACACATACATACATATACATATTGATGAATGTGTGCATGTGGGTGGGTAGATATATGTGTGTCTATATGTCCATGTATGTATATATATGTATATTCGGATGTATACATAATACGCCGCGTAGGCGACGACAGCTCACAAAATAAAATCATTTTCGCTCAAGTAATTGGCCAAGTCAAAGGGGCCGAGACGATCATTCAGCGTATCTGATGGGAGAGGGACTTTGTTTGTTTACTATGAATTCCGAAATCCAAATATCTTACATTTGAAAAAAAAAAAAATTAACAACTGCTGCTATGCAATTATATATGTATATAGTATGTCTACAGTTGCGAGCAATAAATAGGAACTCAACTTAAACTCAACAAAATAAACAGATATTTGAGAAATGTAAATAAATTTCTTATAGCTTAGCTGTATAGTTAGTACTGGATATAGTGACCAAGTAAATAAAGATACTGAATATACACTGAATATTTTAAAAGAAGTGGCTTTAAGGAAATTTAATCTCCTAATTCCATTTGGCTACACTGATGAAATCAAATGAAATTTTAACACTTGTATTTCAGAAACTTTCAAAGTTTGAAATGACTTATGCATATATAGCTAGGATAGTTAAATTCAATACTCTTTAATAAATCTTTTTACTTCAAATTAAAATTTAGATGTGTAATTGTAATTGTATAAATACGTACTAAGTTATCTTGGTCGACCACGAAAAACCCCTTACGGAAATCTACAATAGCTTAGGGACAATGATGTGTATGTACATATGTATGTATGTATATGCTAAAGGTCAAGTCTCTAGTATTTGAAATACGCTTCTTCGGGCTTGTGGGAAAGCCTTGTATGATATTGAAGTAATGCTTTAAAAAATCACGTAAAATTATCGCTTTTTTTTTTTTTTTTTTTTACAAAATTAATTAATAAATTCAGTGATTAAGTATTCAATGCTAAAAAGAATTATGTGTTTTTTTAAATTCTAAAGTACCTAACATGTGAACATGGCTTATACTGACTCAGCTTGTCGATTTGATCAAGACTTTATGTAATTTATGTGGTCTGCACATTCTTCTGTACGCCTATTTGAGTTCAGGATATAAGAAAACGAAACTAAAATAAGAAAACGAAACTATATTACATCAATATATATAATAAAATAAATGTAACTATTAGAGTTGTTGAAAATATATAAAAAACGAGCTTAACAAAATATATCAACTGTATATATGTAGAACAAAGGCCAAAATATGTATGTAAAGGTGAATAGAATATGCACACATCTATATGAATGCATACATAAATGGTTTATATAGCCTTCCAGCATTTGAAAACTATCGAATCACTCGAAGATTACATCGATATGCTCATGACATACATATACTGCCTTTTCTTAGCTGTGAGGTTAGGTCGTGAGAGCGACGTTGCGAGAAACGTCGAGCAACGACTGCAACCGTTGTGGGCGTCCGATGAATTCAATAAAAGCCTGTTGGCAGCTGCCCACTGGCTCATTCAGAATAAAACAGTTGAACGAGAAACATTTCACGTCGTGTTAACGGAAAGGCGAGCAGAAAACACAAAAGCAGAAAACAAAAGCAAAAAAGTGGCAAAGAGAATTTCGAGACGCTATTTTCTGATAAAGCAAGCACTCACTTAATATAGGTAATGGCACAGAACGAACACACGCACATGCACATGTGTGCATACATACTTAGGTAAACGAATACATCACCATACATACATACATATGTCATACATACATACATATGTACAAATGCATACACACACGTGTACATCCAAAGAGAAGGGTTTACCTTGTAAACAAAAAAGTGATGTCCGTTTATAATACGCTCTTACATGTGTACATGCATACATTTATACATGTACGTGTGTACGTGTGTGCGTGTGTGTACACATGATGTTGTTACGCTGAATGGGGGACAGACAGCAAAGCGTTTATTTATGCGCTGACGTCACTTGTTTTTACTACAGCTCCAATTTCTTATTATTTGTCATAAGCCCACACACAGATACACAGACACACAGACACGCAGACACACAGACACGCAGACACACAAACATAGACATGTTAGCCACTTTGACTGCGATTGGCATGAATCATCCGCTTATTTGTGACCATAAATGTATAGATGAACCTGTATACAACAACGAAGCGTTTGCGCCTTAGCACGACCTTTGGCTCTCTGCAACAATAAGCAATTAATTGTTTTCGTTTTCCATTGCTCATTGGTCATTTTGCATTTTTACACTTCCACAGCAGCCCTTTGGATTTGAACCGGACATGGACATGGACATGGAAAATATGTTTGGACGGTCACGGTTGGGCCGTCTAAACAACGATCCCTTCGCTGGCTTTGGAGGCACACGTAAGCGGAATAGTTTGCACGATCCCCATATTCCCACCCATCCCCAGGCACACTCAATGCATGCTGACGATGACTTTTCTCATTATTTTGACGATGCTGCAGACTTTGGATTTCCGCAATTTTCAACACTTGGCCGGCGCGCTCGCGCATCCGGTGGCGCCAACAGCAGTATAGAGCCGGACGATGATTTCTTTCACAGACTGCCATCGGAGTTCCGTCAATACATACCAGAGGGGTTCACCAGCCGTCGAGCTGTCCCATCTCAGCAGCGTCCACAGCCGCCGCAGCAGTACTACCAGCAAGAGTTTGGCGTGCCCCAGCAGCCGGGATCGGCGGCATCGACTGGACAACCGCAGGGGCCACAGTCGCCCTCGAAGCGGCTTTGCGATGCCGCAATTCAAACGGACGACCCCGCTGGCCGCTCGGAGGTCGATTGCGCACCAACTGTGAATCTAAACCAGCATGGACTGCGCAACACCATGGACATGGGCGTGAAGAGCAATGCTGAACAAGAGCAAGGGCCGCGTTCGCACTCAGCGCCGCCACCAGAGCAACAGCAGCTAAATCAGCAGTACCAGCAACAGACAAATCCACCACAATTCAGCACGCAGACCAGTCCACCAGCGCAGCCAAACCTGGGAACGGGCCAGCCGCAATTTCATAAGACTTACTATGCCCCGCAGCAGCAAGCGCATCCTCAACAGAAGCAGCAGACACCGCCGCCTCCTCAAACACCCGGCGGCAGCAACGTTCGCACCATACCGATTTTCGTGGAGGGTCGCGCAGAGCCCGTTATCAATGCCCATAAGGAGATACCAAATCAGAGTGATTCAGGTGCCGGTCAAGCACACTCGCAGGCCTGGTCCAGGGCACATCATGCACCAACGCAGCCTAATCAACAGCAGCGTCCTGCTCCACTTAATACTCAGCAGCCGCAAGGCGACCAGCAATTGCAGACGGACGCTGGTGCCGGTGTGCCGCCGCAGACCCCGCATACGGTAGACTCGATCAAAAAGATTCAGGACATACAGCGCGATGTGCTGGACCTAATGGCCAAGGTGGAGCAGTTCAGAGGCACTCGCCAAGACAAGGAATACGTATACCTGGACGAGATGCTCACACGCAATCTTCTAAAGCTAGACACCATTGACACAAACGGCAAGGATAGCATTCGGCTAGCGCGTAAAGAAGCTATCAAGTAAGACAAAAAATTATTCTTTACCAGTTTTAATCTATGTCTAAATTGTTAACTTTACAGATGCATACAGGCATCAGTTAATGTGCTAGACGCCAAAGCTGAGGAAAACGGCAGAAGAACATCTGGAGTGGAGGAAAACGCAGTCAGTGCCGAGGCAGCAGGTTCAACACTCGCCAAAGAGGAAGAGCCTTCAGAGAACGCTGTGCCTGCTACCCCGCAGCCCTTGGATGCAACCAAAATCCAAGATCCTATACCTCTACCACCGCCGCAGAGTAGCGCAGAGGTAGCCGCTGACCAATCCACAACAGAATCACAAGCTGCGTCAACCGATTCAAAGGAAGCACCCAAAGCTGAAATCACAACGGTAACACAGTCATCGGAATGATTGTCAAGGCACCTGTACAGCACCGCTTCGAAGCAGCTATACAAATTAACCAAAATCAAAATCAAATAATGGGGGAGCTAAAAAATGATTTTTTAATATATCGGAGGCAAGCGGCACTTCCTTGATGAAAGAACATCTGAACAGGTGCTGGGAAAGCATATATAATTCTTTTCAGATGTATAAACTCGTAAATGGAGTATATATATATATATGTATATATATACTTATATATATATATATATATATATATATATATATATATATACTTATATACTTCATTTACATGCGCAATTACATACACCGGTATGTGATCTAGGCTTAAGTTAATACATGATATATACACGACAAAGTGCCTGCTTAGAATTGCAAATTATTGTTGAGAACATTACAATTAAAAAAATATATATAATAGAAGCTGATTATGTAGTTTATATCACAAGATATTTATAAATAATTGCACAGGTCCATGTAAGCAACAGCAATCGTCCAGTAGAACTGAGTATGATCTCATTGGAAAGAAGTGCTTGCAGCATTGCTAAACTGATAGTCAAGGAAATTTCGAATGCATTAGTTTTTGAGTTACTAATTATTAAAGTAAATGTAGGTATCGATCACCCTATAATACATGTACATATAAGACATATATTGGCTACATATATATGATAATACAAATACTCATGTGCATAAAGAAACATTTAAAAAGGACGCAACTGTGTTTCAAAATCTTAAGGTTAACAATCAGATATAAAATGTATACTTAAAATGGAAGGCACCTGTAAAACATGGTGCGTGCGACGTACGTTCTAAGCCGTGTTATAGTCGTTTATAGGCAATTTTAAATCTCATTAGGTATAGTATGGTTCTGCATTATTGTTCAATATCAATATATATGTATATATTGGGCAGCCACGCTTTACGTGTAACTAATTCAGATATAGATGTATGAAATTACAGCAATGGCCTTTAAGATTAACTGATGAAGCTGCTTTGCAGCTCCCTTATTAGATACGATTTTGGGTATAGTTGCTAATAATGTTGGTTTTAGTTGATAATCTCGACATAGTTTGCCGGAAACAGTCCATAGGTTCCATCGGGGCCCAAGCCTTGCCACCAGCCCTCGTCGATCTGATCAATGTGAGTTATAACATCACCAGGATCAAATGTTATTTCTGACTCATCAGCTGCTTGATAGTCATACAAAGCACGTGCGCGGAGACCCAAGTCACCCAAGGTCTCCTGACATATGAAGTCATCCTCATTGACCAAATCGGTTACTGTAAGTAAATCAACATTAAAAAAGGAATAAAATAACTGCATTGTGTATGACACTCATGTTACTCAAGTCAAAAAAACGTACGTGCATTGCGTTCCAGCGTGCTTAAGCCTGACGTCTTAACCGACTGAGACTGCTGCACGGTTACAGAAACTTTAGTGCGCACCTCCTCTTCCTCCTTGTAAACAGCCGTGTCAGTCTCATTCGACGATGTTGTTTCATCTGGTGACTGTGATTGCACCGAGTTTGTTTTACTGTGAGGCGACCGTTTGATGGTCGAGAATTGTTCACTTTCATGAGCCAGAGGCAAATCCTCAGATTGCTGTGCATCTTCCTCCGTAATGGATGCAATAGAATTCGCTTCAATGACTGAAACAGGTGGTGCCTCAACCTCCGCTGAAGCTTCAATGACCACTTGTTTCTTATCCACAGACTCAGAATGTTTAGCCAGAGGGATCGGTGTATCCTGCGTCTGGCTGTGATTGAAAACATTTATACGTTGCGCAATAGAATTACGGGCGGGCTTCGCCGGGGGTTGAGTATTTAGTCTGCAATTTAAAATTGGTGAAATTGGCACAATAAAGCAATGCCACTGAAGCTAAACTCAGCTCACTTTTGATAACTTACTTGGACTGCAGCTGACCCTCGCTAGTGTGTTTGGTGAACATGGCCTTAGCAGCACCCACACGCGACCCAATCAACTCACGTGCCTCTTGGTTTCGTGCCTGGCGCATACGCTCGGCATCGGTTAAGGTTTTTGCAAAATTTGCAATTGTTTTCTCTGGGCTCAATGGTTGCGGTGAGCTGAAATTTAATTGATTTTTGGATTAACATTAATGAATACGAGCTTATGCACAGATAATTACGTTTTAATCGGCACATGAGCTGGCTGCAACTTCGTCGTACTTATTTCCAACTTCTCACGCTCATTGTGCTCTTTTTCCTCACGAGCTCGTTGCTCTTGCTCGAGTTTAAGAAGGTGTAATCGCTTGGCTTCCTTTTCAGCCCCAATCCGATTCTTCTCGTCAGCTTCCTCTTTTTTCCAGAAGTCTTGCATTACGCTGGCATTAAGCTCTTTAGTGGGAATGACACGCGTGTAATTAGTACCCACTGGCGCTTTTTGCTCCTCCATTACGCCACGCGGCTCCTTAAAGCTGTACGCCGAGCTAACCGTACTCAATTTTTTTAACAAACGCTCCAGATCTATGTCATCCTCGTTACGCGCATTAATTGTCAAATGTGCACCGGATAATAATTTTCCCACGTCATGAATATGGTTGGCACAAGTGCCTTTACGTAGGACTGGAGCACCCTCACCCTATGCGAAGAGACGGCAAATTTAGATAAGATAGCAAATAAATTTTGATACAGAACACGATGACTCACCTGCCAGTTGATTAACAGGTATTTATTAAGGCCAGTCTTCGGATCTTCGATTTGCAAGAATGCGTACATTATTTTACCGCTATTTAGGTCTTCGGTTAACTCCTCCACGCCGCCATCTCCTTTTCCAACTAGCTTTAATTCGTTCGTTTGGCCTTCATAGCCAAATAAGGCCCAATTGGTGCTGCTCTTTGCGTTGAGTACATCTTTCCAAGCATCTACGATTTGAGCACGATGTTTCTCAAAGCTTATGGCCATTTTTCTGTGCGTGTTCACGGAAATGAAAGTGCGTAAATCTTCGTTCACTCGTCGGCGCAGTGGTGCCAACGACCTTGAACAAAGCCGCAAAATGTTATCAAATTGTAGATATAAATATTTTAAATTAGCTTCACTCCTATAGATGCCTAAGTTCTGTCGCAGATAACTTAGTAAATGCTAACGCCCCAATAATTTTATTTTCTCACTTTAATAGAGTTTTAACACTAGCTGGTGGTTTTAATTAATTGCAGATAGAGTGCACTGGCACTACAAATACTTTTACTCAGCTTTGTTGATATATTATCGATTATGGCAATTGTTGTACATTGCGATATTATATACCGATTTATGATAGTTAAATTTCCGATAATTATTATTTAGTATTTTCACTAGTGGTATTATTTAGTTCTTACAACACGTTTGATTATTTAACGCTAAAAACAAAATAGGGAGAATGAAATAAGTGATTCAATAGTAAATATTGTTCCAAATGGTTAATGTGAATAACAACCAAAAAATACTAGAATGTATCGTTATTTGAAAAGTAAATTCACTAAAAATTACCACATCCGTTGCAATTGAAAAACTGTGAATCACTATATATATTTTTTGTGCTTTTCTTATTCTTGCCTAATTCTTGCCTGATGAATCCAAGTTAAACCGTTTTCAGTCGGATGGAAAGCAAACCCGCTGGCGGTAATCTGGGAAACGCATTCAAGGACATTATATGAAGCAAACTACTAAACATAGCGGCGCCAACAATATGGTTTGGTTTGCTTTATACATATGTACATACATACATATGTATGTATGTTGGAGCGTTGGTCCTTCTACTAAATACTAGAACGTAAATGTGGAACGAAAATTCTCTTTTTCTGAGTATTCTGCAAACCCATCTTCCCAATGTTTTACAGAAATCTGCTTACCTCGAACAAGAGAAAATTGGACTTATAAGGATTGTTTATGGTTTTTATACCGTTAAAAATAAATCAGTTTGTGAAAATATATCAGACGGAAGAATGCGTGGCATTCCCCATAAAGTATATTTATTCTTGATCAGCGCGAAATGCGGAGTATATGTACATACATATACATATGTACCTATATAGTCAACTCCTTCTGTCCGTCCGTATAAACGCTGATATCTCAGAAGTAATAAGACCTGGAGACTTTAAATTTTACATTTTTACATAAATTTCTTTTTGTCGACAATAATCGAAAAAAATTTTTTTTTTTCTTAAGCGAACTTTAAATACTATTAGACCCAGAGACTACGAAGATTTTGTAATTTACAGATTTTGGATACCACGTATATACACCTTTGAAAGCTATGGCGCCTTTTATTGGGATTCATTCAATAAGTTCTCATAATATAGCGAACAAGGCAGCCTTCAGCATGCGAGGTCGCTGCTGATCAGTTAGCAGAGTGCGCACTTGTGCCTAAGTGTGGATTCATACGTATGTACATCTGTATGTTTGTTGATTGGAATATCAGCCCTTCAATCTATAGGTGATCTAGTCGACCAGTCTTGACTAGAGCACTCTTATTTTTTTAAACTATAAATTATCCGATTTATTTAATTTCAATAATTTAAGAATATGCAGATTTTTCGATTCTTTCCCGTGAATGACTTTCTCTTACATAATACAACGGAAATCTATTTATTGGTAAATTAAAGCCAATTAAAGTGTCGAAAGAACTAGGCAGCTTCCTAAATCGAACAAATTTGATGAGTTATAGCATTTCCTCATAGTGTTTTAAATAACGTCTGTCTGAGAACCTTCCGAACTGATATCTCGGGCATACATGAATTCATAGTTATTATCAACTTCTACAAAATAGGTTGGCAGTGTGCCGAGCCCCTTGACAAATGTCATTCCGCGGTAGCTACACACTAGCCCAAATCTGCGCAGTATATTGGCCGTCTCCTCGGTCACTTGGATTTTTCCAGCGACTCCGGTAGAGTCCATTCGGGAGGCTACATTAACAGCATGACCCCAAATATCGTAGTGCACTTGTGAGGCGCCCACCACACCGGCCATTACCTCTCCACTTGAAATTCCAATGCTCATATCGGCGGTAAATACATCACGATCAATTGGAACGTTCTTATAATCATTGTTGCACACCCACAATGTTCGCATCAGGTCCAATGCAAAGATAGCTATCACGAATACCAATTCATCCTTTTTATTGGAAAAACTATCACTTGAAAAGACTGACATCGAGCGTCGTGCGTGGACTGCTATTAAACAGAAATATATAGATAATGCACATAAATATATCAAAAACTTTATTGATTACTCACTTTCCTTAAAAACAGAGTCGGTCGTATGACACTTTTCACTTACAAGAGAGGATAACCGTACATCCAACCCACACGCTGCCATATATGTACTGCCCACAATTTTGATCTTTTCGACAACATTACCGTGCCTATAAAAGGATAACTACACCAGAAAAATAGACCTGCAAATTTATTATGGAATTTGAAGGTCTTACGAGTCGATCAAATTCGGAAATAATCTCGTTGAGAACACGTAAGTTAGACAAAGTTAACTCAAAGTTTTTTAGGGATGCGAACATGACGGCGACACAGTCATAGACCTCATAGTAAAGCTCGTCTTTGGCAAGATAGGTCAGATATACGTTTACTGCATAACCCAATAGAGAATTAGTTCATCACAATTCAATTTATATTTACCTATATATATAAAACCTACCAACATGGGCTGGCAATATGTTATGCAATAGAATTGTTATAGACTGATCTGCTAAGCGGGCATCTTCCTGTTTTTTCAGCAGCTCTACTCTCCATCTGAAAATAAACCTCAATGTGGCTCAGGGTTTCGCATTTCGAATTTTGTACTCACTTATAATTCATTTTGTTATTAAACTCGGCCTGTCGTTCTTTACAATATACCGCCAGAAAGGTCGATATGATCATTAGGCAGTGGGCGCTTTCAGATTTAAAAAAGGGATTAGTTGTCAAGCTAATATGAACTAAGTACTCAAATTGATAGAGCATAATGCTTAAATAGGTAACGCACACCACAAGACTGATTACAATTCTCATAATGAATGGAATACGCGTAAATATGATGCCATTGGTAATAATAGAGCACACCATACAGGTGAGTGCCCACGGAGCGAAGCACATTGTATTCTCGCCGTCATATTGGTACAGTATGCTATCAATATGCTCTTTCTGGAATTCGTCCATGTCACAGTCATTCTAAATAAAATAAATATATAGTTATTAGTATTTGTCCAAGCCACATATGTTATCACCCACCAGAATTATAGAAATAATAGCAAAGTACGCCACTATGATGAAAATATAGATAAGTATGCGTTTAATGAGGCTACGCTGCAAATTATCCGCGATTCGAAATAGGGCACAGCTAAGCTCGGAAAATCTATGAGGGCGGTCGGCATACACCCAGAAGCAGATCATCTTGTACCAAGTTAAAATCAATAATAGCGAAAAGGCTAATATCAAAAAGGCATCTAAATAATAAGACCCTTTAACCAATTCATGGTCATAAGTAAGTTGCAGGTATATGAGGGTCATAGCGCTGCACCAGGCTTGCAGTACACTGTACTTCAACATGTAATCGGGTTGATGTAAATACTGACATTCCAACCGTGGATTGTGATAATGTAAGAGAAAAAGTCCAATTTCTGGACGGGAGGAGCTTGGCGACTCCTTCTGCTTCGTCAAATTAAAAAAATTAAACAGTCTCGTTAGGGGCTCATTAAACCTGTTTAGGTATACAGAAAAATAATCAGTAACTTAGCTTTTCAAAATACAGTCTCACCCTTTGGGACCAAGCGGCATTTTTTTCAATTCTTCATTTATCAATAGTTCAGGAGTGCCTTCATTTCGCTCTTTCGCTGAAAATGATTCAAAAGATTCTTGAAGATCCAATTCAATATTTTTGTTGTTTTCAATAGGATCTATGAGAAATGTGAATATGTTGAACTTTTGAAAATAGGCATCTTTACGCGCGGCCTCGGTTCCAGGACGTGCTTCAAACCAATTTTTAATCAATTCAAAAGTTCTTTCGCTAACATGAACTTGACCAGGCATTCCGGTTCCCTCCAATTTGTTCGCAATTAAGACATCTGGACCTTACAGGGAAAAACAAAAGCATCGAACAAAGTAAGACAAATGATCCATCTTAAATTTAACTTACCCCAAATGTCATATTGCAGTTTCGCTGACCCAAGAACTCCTGCAAACAAACTTCCCGAGTGCACACCAACACGTATGTCTATGCCAATTTGGACCTCGTCTCTAAAAGTGTATCAAAAAGTAAAAATATAAATATAAAATGCTAAATGCAAATGGGTGGTATGATATGAGCACCTACCGCACTTCCCGAATAATATCGATCATACAGAGTCCTAGTTTAACGCAGCATATGGCATGAGCGGGATCTGGCTTTATCAGCCCCGCCACACAGTAGTAGCAGTCGCCTAAGAATTTGATTCGTTGCACAGCGTACCGAGAGGCAGCGTTATCGAATCTGGCATACAGCTCGTGCAGCAAAGTGACCAGCTCCTTAACGGATAAGGTTGTCGTCAAGTGGGTGTAGTTAACTATATCCGCATACAGAATACTGACGTCGGGATGCATTTGAATGGCAATTACCCGATCTCTTCTATTATTAACAAGCATGTTGTGGTGTTTCTGAGAGAACTCAATCCGAGCTCGAATTTCATCTTGAATCGGCTGAGCTATTTGCGGCGGTAATATGCTATGCAAGAACACCCTCTCCCTTGCACGAGTGCTCCTTAGCGCATTAGCTTCCATTACATACTGATGTCGATCAAGGAACGAGGCGCGGACAACAATCTCACGCATTACTCGAAATCCGGTACCGATCACATTTAAGCCAATGTAATTGCATAGAACAACGATAGTTTCGCTATAGCGTGTTATGTTACCTGTGCGAAATTGATTGTCATAATTTTGAAATATTACAAAGTAGCAAATGTATAGAATTGACACATAAACTGCCAGCGCCATCGGTGGAAAGATATAAGGAATTGGAAAAAATATATATATCATGAGTATAACATATGAGTCATACATAGATGCCAATATCCATTGATTTATATGGTAGTGGTAATAATTAAGCGACAGATCTGTAAAAGAAATAATGTAATGCATATATAGATACATAGATAGCATTAAAGTGAATACCTACCAACGAAAACAAGAAGCGCTGTGACAATGACCGATGTAACGTACGTCATCCATCTAAGCTTCGAAGGGCTTTTCACTTTGACGTTGGCCCACATTACTGCAATAACGACGACAGCACATATCGAATAGCAGCAGACGTCCACGTATATTAAGTCCAGCTCCTGTACGGGCAGACAAATCGAGTAGAGCTACACCTATGAATATTTCAACAATTCATATTCACCGCGCATGTTGTTAACAAAAGAATGCAATGAAGTACTGTGAAAAGACAGTGCAACACTTGAAAGACGATTATGTAGCTTATCGAAAGGCGCAACTGGTGCTCTTTGTATTGTTCCTCTATGCCCACCTCTTTACACTTTTTCTGGAAAAAGACTTGGAATTAGTAAATACTCATTGATTGATATGATGTCGGTATCGACCGCTTATACGGTGCTTATACAATACCCTTAGAAAACTGCAGTTCCATTTTAATTCGTTCGTGTATGTAAGTGTGTATTTCATGTTTCAAAGCTGCCTACATATGTTAATAATGTGATAAAAACCATATAATCAAGGAGTAATTGATAAAGGAGTTAGTTGTAAGCAAGCACTGACACATATCGAATTATAGCCTTGGTTGCTAAAGAACATATGGCACGCGTCCAAAATGTCTGAACTTGAAAAGTTAGCTCCAGTACTAAGTAGGTAATCCTAATAGCCAATTGCATGCGATTTTGGAATTGTAACCAAATATCTTTGGAAGAGTGTAATACAAATTGTGAGTTCTCTATATGGAATCATTTTTACGACGTATGTAAATGCGTTGTAAAATATCCGTTTCTAAATTGGAGCATAGCAAGTAGAAGATCCTCTTTAATCTGTCTCTTTAAATATACTCCACAACTTATATCTAGTATAAAAACAAAAAGTGTGCTTGAATTGATTAGGCTTTTAATCGATATCATTAAAACGGTAATAGTAATTGAATTTTTGATTTATATACGCGTGCAATATAGGGACCTTAAAAGTCCTCAGATCGACAGATAAAATAACTCAATATTTTGAGTGACCTAAGAAATTATTTTCAGCTTGCAGCTTCTAGATCATCTACTCCTTGATTATGTTGCCTTTTCCCTTAGCCATAAATTGTAGTATTAATAATAAAAAGAGTAAAATAAATAAAATACAAAAAAATAATAAGTAAAAATAAAAAATAAAAAAACACAAAAATATTATCTGATTTATGTAGTTTTTAAACATGCAATGCAAACTATCGTATGGGAAAGAGCTAAGATGGGACTACCAATTTCTAAGGGTATCGTATAATCAGCAAGCACTTATTTACGGCAATCTATTAATATGTCCGAACTAATGCTAATTTAGAAAAAATGTAAGGAGGTGGGTATAGAAGACGAATTCCATTATCACCAGATGCGTCTTCGAGCCAACAACGTGTACGTGTTTCAGGCGTTGCATGCATTTCTCACACTTCTTCATTGCGGTCTGCTGATAGCAACATGCATGGTGAGCTGATGAATATGAATGTGATTACATTCTAACGGCATTTATAGTAATTTTGTTCGTCGACTCAGCATCTGCAATTAGTATACATCGATATAATCTGCTATATGGTATCTGCTGTTATCGTTATTGTAGCTATGTGGGTCAATGTAAATGTGAAGCTTGGGCTGAAATATAAGTGGTTAAAATACGTTACATCTACAACTGCCGCGCTGTGTGTCCTTCTTGTAGGTAAAGCTAATGCATTATTGCTCAATTTAAATTTGCACATAACATGATTATGATCAGATCTCATGAAGAGAAAAAACAAGTAAGAAGGCTCTAGTCGAGACTGCTCGACTAGGAGATACCCTGAACCCTCTAAGTCTTTAGCTCCTACTTCTTCTGACGGCCAAATCGACTTAGTTCGTCGTCTTGATCAAGAATATATATATATTTTGTGGGGTCTGCTACGCCTCCTTCTGTCTCTTACATACTTTTCAAACCTTTATACCTTGATTTCATATTTTCAATGGATTCAGGGTATAAAAACTTTTAAAAAATTATGAAAACTTTTGTTTGTAATTTATATATCTATATATTTAATATATATATGTTCAATAATATATACTTATATAATATATTTTTACAGATATGGGAACTAATTTTTACCATGAACATTTCAATGATTGGTTCTTGGAAACATTTTTTGACACCTACATAATAATAATGATATATATGTTTTTCCCTATTCCGGATATACCACCAGCAATGGGACTTGCAGCTACAATATCTGCAATATATATTATTTATTACGTATTATTTTTAGGCAGCTTAAATTTAGGTGAACATTCACGATTTGGCGAAACTATCGAAAATCTATTCTATTATATTTCCCTAAATATGATGTGCACCTATTTTTTGATAATGCGCGAGATTGTTGTCCGCGCCTCTTTCCTTGATCGACATCAGTATGTAATGGAAGATATTGCGCTAAGGAGCGCTCGTGCGACGGAAAGAATATTCCTGCATACCATATTACCGCCGCAAATAGCCCAACCAATTCAAGATGAAATTCGAAATCGGATTAAGATCGGTCAGAAGCATCACGATCTGCCCTCTAATAAAAGAGATCGGGTAATTGCCATTCAAATGCATCCCGACGTCAGTATTCTGTATGCGGATATAGTTAACTACACCCACTTGACGACAACCTTATCCGTTAAGGAGCTGGTCACTTTGCTGCACGAGCTGTATGCCAGATTCGATAACGCTGCCTCTCGGTACGCTGTGCAACGAATCAAATTCTTAGGCGACTGCTACTACTGTGTGGCGGGGCTGATAAAGCCAGATCCCGCTCATGCCATATGCTGCGTCAACCTGGGACTCTGTATGATCGACATTATTCGGGAAGTGCGGTAGGTGCTCATATCATACCACCCATTTGCATTTTGCATTTTATATTTATATTTTTACTTTTTGATACACTTTTAGAGACGAGGTCCAAATTGGCATAGACATACGTGTTGGTGTGCACTCGGGAAGTTTGTTTGCAGGAGTTCTTGGGTCAGCGAAACTGCAATATGACATTTGGGGTAAGTTAAATTTAAGATGGATCATTTGTCGTACTTTGTTCGATGCATATGTTTTTCACTGTAAGGCCAAGATGTCTTAATTGCGAACAAATTAGAAGCAACCGGAATGCCTGGTCAAGTTCATGTCAGTGAGAGAACTCTCCAAATGGTCAAAAATATGTATGAAGTATATCCTGGCACTAAGGCCGCACGTACAGATGCGTTCCTTCAAAAGCACAATATTATCACCTACCTCATAATTAGTATAAATGATAAGGGAAAAAGAACCGAGCTCGATAGTGAGTCCAATGATTCCTTCAATGTCATTCAGCATCAGGAATCAAGTTCTGGACTAGTGTTAAGTGAAGAATTGAAAAAAATGCCCCTTGGTCCCAATGGGTAAGATGTTAGAGATTTATAGTATATAAATATTATTTTACATATTTTAACAGATTTTCCCTGCTTGTCGGTAAACTCTTTAATTTAAAGAACCATCAAGAATTACCTAGTATGTCCCGTGTAGAAATCGGAACTTTTTTCTTAAATTTTCGAAATCCTGCTCTGGAATATAACTATTTACATCAGCCCGACTACATGTTCAAGTATAGTGTACTTTTAGCTTGGTGTTGCGCTATGAGTCTCATATACCTGCATCTGCTTTTTGACGATAAACACAATTCCAGCGGCTTATATTTCGACCTGCTGACGTTCGTCACATTATCCTTGATACTACTGTTGGCTTGGTATAAGAAGATCTGCTTTTGGCGTTATTCTATGCACTGCCACAACTACTCCCGTCTTAGCTGCGCCCTATTTCGTATGGCAGACAGTTTACAGTGCAGTCTCTTGAAGAGGATCACTGTATATACTTACTTTATGATAACGTATATTCTAATCGTATATATGATACTGGTGGGTAGCTATCGATTTTGGCTGGATGACGGTTGAATACTAAGATTTGTGTTTCTTTTAGGATAACTGTAATGAGGCAGAATTTCAGCTAGCGATGATTGAAAGTATAGTGTACAAATATGAACAAGATGCCAAATGCTTCTCTTCGTGGCAACTCAGCTGCTCAGTGGTCCTTATAATTTTCATGACTATTATATTTACTCGTATTCCATTCACCATGAAAATAATAGCGAGCCTATTTATAAGCGTCATCTATTCAAGCATCTTCCTCTTTCAATTCGATGACGTAATTAACGATGGCGGGGCAACCAATCCTTATTTTCCACCCGAATACGCGCATTTAATAATGATTATAATTACTCTATGCACTTTGTATCTCCAGGAGCGACAGGCTGAGTTTAATAACAAAATCAATTACAAGTGAGTAAAAATTCGAAACGCAAACCGCTGAAGCACAAGAGTTTTTTTAGATGGAGGGAGGAACTGTTGAAAAAACAGGAAGATGCTCGCATAACCGATCAGTCTATAACTATTCTATTACATAACATCTTGCCGGCCCATGTTGGTAGGAAGAGTTGTTTACTTGATATGCAATTATTATAGTTATGAGCATTTCTCTATTGGTCTATGCAGTGAACATCTATCTGACCTCTGTGGCCAAGTGCGAACTTTACTATGAGGACTATGAAATGGTGGCCGTCATGTTCGCTTCGCTTCAAAATTTTGATTTGACGTTGCCCAACTTGCATATCCTCAACGACATTATTGTCCATTTTGATCAAATCGTATGAGCTATCTATAGAGTACCAGTTGAATGTTTTGACATCATCCTTATCCTACTGCAGCTGTATTTTTATAGAGAGGATAATTTAGTAGAAAAGATAAAGATTGTCGGATGTACATATATGGCAGCCTGTGGGCTGGATCTACGGTTCTCCTCGCTGATAAGCAATGGAACTGGTAGGGGCGACTCTGTTTTTCAGGAGAGTGAGTAACTACATTAGTAGGCCTATTCAGAATATAAATATGCATTTTATATTGCAGTCCACCGCGAACGTGTCTCGGATGAGTCTGCCCAAATGGCAAATTATACATTGACCGAGAAAAGGGAGGAAGTGGTATTAGTGCTAACCACCTTTGCATTGGACCTAATGAGAACACTGTGGGTGTGCAAGAATAATTATATGAACCTTTCAATGGACCGTGCTGTATTTAACGCCGACATAAGCATTGGTATATCCTGTGGAGAGGTGATGGCCGGGGTAGTGGGCGCCTCGCAGGTGCATTATGATATCTGGGGTAATGCTGTCAACATGGCCTCGCGAATGGACTCCACGGGCGTCGCTGGAGAAATACAAGTAACCGAGGAGACGGCCGTTATTCTGTCCAAATATGGGATAGAATGTAATTACCGCGGCATGACATTTGTCAAGGGGCTCGGCATGCTGCCAACGTATTTTGTAGGCATCACTAGTTCCTTCGAATTCGTAAATATCGGGGAGAAAAGTCTGATGTCGAATGCATCAAATCCTCACTCTAGCGAAACCTCTACATAATCATCCGATATGGATCAAAAGCAATTCAAGCCTCTTCGCTATTAAGCTGCTCTACCGTGTTAAATTAGAGAATTTGCCACAATCGCCTGTTTATATATATATATATATATATATTTTTTTTTATATTTACAGGTATATGTATGTATATTTATAAGTTAGTTAAGAAGCCTCTATATATAAATAAATATTTATATAAATAGGATTCTTAATTAACTTTATTGATAGCAGCCCTTCCGGAACTTTGTAATTCAAAATCTGTCGTTGGAGCCATCAAGATTTTAAATACTTCGATTGTATATGAGCAAATGTGTATTTAAAAAATTGATGGCTACGGCGTTATGTAAATATAAATAAATATATTAATTAAAATTAAAAAAAAATGCTTGAAGATAATAGATAAAGACAAAGGATTCCAGAATATTATACATACAAAGTTTCCCAATTTCTCAACTGATACACATTAATATACCCATAATTTTTTGCTAATCGACAGAGGTGTTATCGTGACAGTAAACCTTAATCATTAAACCTTTATTTGATAACAATAAAAATACCTAAATACAGTTTTGCTTTGCTTCCTGTTTTAAGCGGAGATATTTGTTTTTGTTGTTAAGACGAGTATACATTTTAAAAGTGCTCAAAGTATAAAAGTGTTTTATTTCAAAGATTTTTTCAGGCGTACGCATGCAACTTTTGGCTAATCAGGGCATTCACTTCAAAACTCTGGAAACTAAAGGGTATTTTTGAAAATGTCGCCATATACAAATTATTTTGAACTTACAATTATTGAATTTTACGACTTCTCCCTCTAAAGCTTTAGACGATACAAACGCCTTCGGTTTGCCACAACCTCTGCGAAAGTCGATATAAGCCCCATATCTAGATAACGTTCTGAATTTGGTTTTATATGGGGAGTCAGTTCTTGTTGTCCGTTTGCTTGTTTAAACAATTTATGCTACATTTGTAAGTTTGATAACGCAATACAAACTAGTAAGAAAGCTGTAGTCGAGACTGCTCGACTACGAGATCCCTAAACTCTTCGAGCAACTGATATTATAATAATTCTTTGCGTCTTTCTGCTTACACAAGAAATACTCACACACACACTGTCCCATGTAGGCATGCCCGCATAAACGCGCATGGACTGCAGTGTCGGCTTATTATGGGAACTTAATTGTTTGAAACTTTCAGATCGTATTTAGAACATTAAAGTATATACGTGTACATATGTGGGTGAGGGGTGAATATAGGGGTGGGGGTAAATTATAACAAGAATCGAAATTCTATAAAATACGTACATATGAATTTACATATATAATTTGGCGACTATAGCTTTAAAGATATTGGAGATATAATTATTATTTTCGATAATGTTTTTAATCGATAAAAAAAAATAACGAGAAAAGCTATCAATTTTTGGAGACATCTGCGCTATATATACGGACATTTGAAAAAATATTCAAGTCTCTAGCTCTCATATCTTCTGAAATCGAAGCGTTCAAACATATGAACAGACGGACGGACGGACAGACAGACAGACTGATAGGGCCAAATCGACTCAGCTCGTCGCCCTGATCAAGAATATATATACTTTGTTAGGTCTGCCACGCCTCCTTCTGCCTGTTACATACATTTCAACAAAACCATTATACCCTGATTTCCCATTTTCAATGGGTTCAGGGTATAAAAAGTATTGGATAGTTGAGTTATTGTAGGCCTATTCATTGATACTCACGCCCGCTTTGGTGGAAGATACCCAGACCCATATAAGGTACATTCGAAAATAATACGCAAAGGTACATTCATGATCACATATAGTATATAAAAATAGCCTACTCACAAAAATATTTTCATTAACAAATTTCGAGCTTACATCTCCCAGTATCCATATAATTAAATGATTATCGTATAAATTAGCCAAAAAAAACATCGTTTATGTATCTGTTGATTTTTTTATTTTTATATTCTATTTTACTCATATATTTAGTAGTTCTTGGTGCGTATTATTTTATTTCGTAATTAAATTTTAAACTAAATTTTGAACTATCACGTAGCGCAAAGGCACGAACGCAAAAATGAGTACCGTAAACGCACAATCACATACGTAACGCAAACAAAGAGAATTGACGCAACAATGAGCCCATACAGCAAATGAGTAATGTTTTCCAACACTGCAGTGTGTTGTTTTTCGTAAATTTTACAGTGGATTTAAATAGCATTTAGTAAAGCGTTTTTAGCCTCTTTAGCAAACAAGAGATCTCAAAAATATATTCAAATATTTGCAATTCCATCTACCATCAGGAGAACATCAAAAACCGTGTTGTATAAACCTAAAAAACGGGTCTTCGTGGACGACTATAAAAATTTTTCAAGACATCCAAGCAAAGGTAAATGTAAAAAAAAATCTTCAGCTGCTGGCATGCTTGGCAACAATGTGGCATTTTGGTAAATCCGTTTCGGTTACGTGTGCTGTGAACGCGCTCTGCTGCTGTACCTGGTCAGTGCCAAATTTTGGGCTGCGATGGCTCATGCTGTTGCTGCTGCCTTCAAACCTGTCCCAACTGCATCGTGCTTGCGGCCTTCCCACCCCTAACCCGTGTCCATCGCCCTAGCGATGAAAACTGAAAACTACTTCCAGCCAGCAGCAGCATCAGCAGCAGGATTTCGCCTTGTTTGTTTGAGCCACTCAGCGGCTACAACACTACTCTTTGTTACGTTTTGCGCTCCGTTTATATGTTCGTATGTATGTATGTATGAATGTATATGCATGCGCCTGTATGCAGTGTTTGATGATATGGTTTTAAAATGTCTATGTATGTACACTTTGTGACGCGGTCAATTTGTTTCTTGTATTTACAGTGTGAAATTCATGCGGTACACATCGAAGACATCCAGTCCTTGTCCACGGCCATAGCTAGAGTCCACGCACAGACCGTTTCCTGCTATCCAAAAATACATAAGATACATAAGATGGAATCTGCTCTGGACGTTCTTTCTCGAGCGGCCACCATGGTGCAGAACAATTCGAGCGGTGAGTGCCCGACCGACATTTGGTCGACAGTTCTTCATTTAGTTTTAAGAAATATCTAAACCTGGCTCCCATTAACCAATTCCGCATAAACAGTAGCAGCCAGGCTTACTTTTTGATGATGTTACTTTTATGGACATGACACCGCCTGACACCAGTTTTTGTTATTTATATTTCTGGGCCCGTCTGCGTGCCTCCTCATATCTTATGGGTTTCACCTTTGCACTCACGTCCTATAAACTCGAAAGTATTTTAACAATGTTAGCAATGTCTTGTCTGACACTTCTGTGTATATGTACAGAAACATGCAGATGTACATATTTAGTGTAGGTAGCTTTCATTAAGTTTTGGTATCCAACCTGTTAATCGCCATCACTCTTTCTCCTTACAGCATGAATCATAGCGGAAGAAATTCGCACCTGCAGTGAATATGCTGCAACTTAAACTCCCAAGATATTTCCCGCCTCTGCCATATATACACATGTATTTGTATTTGTATGTGTACAACTACACATACACGCACACGTCTGTATAAGCAAATGCACACGCACATTTATTGCGTATCACGACCAAACTGAAAATAAAACATTCCAATAATATGAGTTTGTGGCGCATTCCGATTCCGATTTTCATAAATGTGTCAAATGCCGCATTTTTGAAAACGACGTCGATGTCGACGACGTCGAGGCAAACTCTCTGGGCCCCGCGTGCGGGCGTTATCAACAATTGACGACCAGACGAGCACGAATCGGACGCTTTATGTATGTCGCTATATGTACATATATGTATGATACATATGAATGTATACGAATATGGTTATATATGCATGCGCAAGCATTGCAAATTGTTGTATCGGCGACATACACATAGTTTGCATATGTTTGTACGTATTTGCAATTCGAGCTTGTATTATCCGCACTTCTATTCCATCAAACGCGTGACATGTCAAAGAAATACGAATGCCAACGAATTAGTTATGTGTAGTAAATACATAAACCCAGACATTCGCATGTGGATTAAACAATTGCAGTGTGTTTACTCCCATTCCCTTATTAATAGGATTGTTTGTTGTTTGTGTAGGCCCCCACAGCCTCACCGATGCGATGAAGTGCTTTTGCGTTTTTTTTTTTTTTTTTTATTTATTTGTTGTGTCTTTATCAACATACCCATATATATTTGACAAATTCCTGCCCAAAGCACTCATACACATACACACACACACGTTCACGTTCAGGCAGTAAACAACGTACGGAATTTATTTATGAAATATACGCGTATACATATATTTATGCCTAAGTGTATATGTGGAAGTAAGTTTGCAATCACAATTCCGAAATAAAAATGTAAACTTCAAAATAATTGGGTAATGTGCCCAGCTTCGTCACATGTCAGCAATCGTGTTGCCCCTGGTATATGGTATATGTTCATAAACAAAAGCGGGCCCTTTGGCTTGTGGCGGTGTCTGGCTCTGGCTTTGACTTGTGGCTGTTGCTGTTGCTGTGGTTGTGGCTGTGGCTGTGTCGTCACACAGTTTGATTGATCAGCCAAATTGGAAATACAAAATGTCGTTAACCTGGCTATGATTAATGAATTTGTCATAATCGAAATACGCATTTGAGTTCTTTAATAAATCACACGTGACTGCCTGCCCTATGGTAGCCAAGAAAAGCGGGTCGATTATGCTTATGGCCAAGTCGTTAATTAAGCCAGCGGCACTTGTGGCTGAGATTTCTGAATAAAGCCCTAAACAGCCGCTGTCAGCTGATGTGTGTGATGTGTGTGCGCTATGTGTGCCCATAATTAATAAACAAATAGTCAGCACAACAATTGTGCAGCTCTCAGACAAGCAAATAAATAAATAAGAAATAGAAAATTGAAGCAGCTCGCTCTCTAAGACGAGCGCTCACCAGGCGCAGCTGGATACGTCAGCTCATCAAGTAATTTACATGGCCTTTCAATTTCCCAGTGCCAGTTGGCAAACACTCTCTTCCTTTTACTAGCAAGCAGCACGCAAGCTAGCCGTGATTCTCGGCCACAAGAAACTGGTCTCTAATCCGTGCACAGCTCCCAGCCTGCTAGCCTGCCAGCCTGCCAGATGACCGTCTGCCTTTCTGCCTTTCTTTTTGCTCTCGATGCTGTTGCTATTTATCTTTTAGCATTGGACCACAAATTTAGTCTTGGCTTGCTAACGGCTATTACGAATATTATTTAGTCAGTTTGACTGGAGGTCGATTTTCGTAATTCGACGTTATTTGCCTTGTTGATATACAACAATTTTTGGGCAGAATCGTATTGGCTTTTTCTCACGCTAGTTTTAATGCCGGATAACATTTTCGAATGACAACTATATTTATGTTTTGTTTTTCTTCTTCTTCATTTGCTATTGGCAGTAGTCTGTTCATTATGTTTCAGTTGTTCTTCTTGATTTGAGGCAATAGCCAAACAGGTTTTTAAACTGCGTACACTCTCGCGTTTTATTTAAATTTTGAACTCGTTTCCCCTGATTTATGTTGCCTTTCTGCCGGTACAGTAAAAGCAAAGAAATAAGAACTTCCACAGATGAGAATATTTAATAAAAGTATTAATATTTTCTTTGCACTTCGGCTGTATGTATTATTTACTCTAGGGACCTATTCAGATCTGCACAATCTCCATAGGCCGAAAATGAAATATATATTTAATAGGAACCACCTCTGTTTGTACGTTCATCGAAATAATCAGATTATCAAATTTAGAATAAACAAGATATGATGCTATTCACCGTTATATACCCATTGATCTAGAAATTCGCTGAGTTTTATATCCGCTTGTGAATCAGTGAGAACTTCTATTGGGTTACCATTTGAGTTTCCGTGGGCTAAGCTTAAACTACTTGACCCATTTGTTGGTCGACTTGCGGATATTGTTGTTGTTGTTGTTATTGTTGTTTTTTATTTCTATTACTTCTCCAATGAGACTTCTCAGATTTCTACACTAATTTCTGAACAGAATA